GGTTAATTATCTTAAAATGAAATTAATTAAAAAGAAATAACTATTGATATTTAAAAATCAAAATAATTACGGGATAATTATCTACAATTAAAAACATACCAGTTGTATTAATACAATCGCTGATACGCAACTGAAGAAATAATACTATAAATTGTATAATTAAACAAGAATAATTAATAAAAATATAATTACTTATATTTAAAATCAAATAATTATGAGATAATTATCCACAAATAAAACGTATCAGTTATGCTAATATGACAGATAATATGCAACAGTAGAATTAATACAACAAATTTTGCAAGCCGTAAAGGAGACCCCCACAATTTTGCTTTGATTGTCGAGAAACTCTCAATTCTTGTCATAAACCCACCAAACCAATTACCCCTCGCATTTCTAATTAGGTCGTCTACTCCTGCGCGGCTCGATGGAATCTTCATAGCCCCGATCAGTATTGAGCTTCGCCCAATCTTGAATCGGCTTAATCCACTTGATCATTTTAATATTTTTTCCTCCTGCCCCTTGTTTTTTTCGCTGCTACCTTCAAAGGGAAAAGGTCCTTACGAATGACTGTAACGGGAGCTCTCATTAGGGTTAGATGTTCATTCGGGCCTAACCGGGCTCCGGGCCCGGGCCACGACCGCTTCGTAGGCGCCCGCACCGGACCCGGCCTAGCCCGACCAGCAAAAGGGCCGGACCGGTGTGGTCGGGTCCGGGCCCGGCCTCGCCAAATGGTCACAAATGGCGGGGCCAAGCCGGGCCGGACCGGGCCGGATCCATCCCGGTCCGATCGACCATAACGGCCATATTTGTGATTTTAACCAAAATATCCTAAAAACGATTAAAACGGCCAAAATTTGGGGGGTATTTTGGTCATTTGGCTAGAGGGCTGCCTCCATAAATAGAGGGAGTTTTCATTTATTTTTCTCATCCAAAATTCATCTACTTCTCTCTAATACTCTCTAATACTTTCTTATTCTCGCTTTTGCTCTCTAATTCTTCAATCAAAT